TCCAATGGGACTGTGTCCTTACAAGTAGCTAATGCCCACCTGCACAAACAGCATAGGACATGTATTTGGCACCGTTTTACTGCCTTCAGCCATAGTCCAGACCTACCATTCTGTATGGAAGCCAAAGGGTTATTTTCAGAGTCTGCAAAGAGCTGAGAAATTTCTTTTTCAGATTATGTTAAGGTAATGAGACTCTCTTTCAACCTGTTTGTAATCAATGCTGCTGGTGAGTCCTTACTTTCTGAGCATTTCCATGCCGCTCTGTCAGAGGTCGCTCCAGACCCTTGTACCAAAGTACAGAGAAAAACTACAACATTGAAGAGATTATATGAGGGGAAGAATGACCTCTACATAGAAATATGCTCAGGTTAACAAGTAGCCCATGCTGGATTTCCATGGCTTAGTAAAAAATTTGTTTTTGCAAAGTTAAACACAGGTACAAACAAAAGTCCAGCTGGATCACAGCTGAGCAGAATCCAGTTTTATGAAGCATGCCTGAGAGACCCTGGAAAACATTATTATGGTTGGGATTTTTTTTTAGTAATTTAGTTTTCTTCAACAGTCAGTCCAACAGAACCAAGTCAGTGTTTGGAAGAGATCTCTAACTTCTAAATGTCTCTCTCAGATATATCATTAAAGTTGGCTCTGGCAATTTGCAAGTTTTAGGCCCTTATCAAAATATCCTTACACAGGCCAGGTATTATTATTATTGCTTGAAAATCCTCTCAAGTAAAGATTACTTATAGATGAGATGAATATTGAATAAATGTAATCCATGGATTAATTAGCTAAAGCCCTATGTTAATCAGAAAGCAAGAAAGGGAGAAACACTAGCTCATTAAGCATTTACAAGTATGTTATATGTGCTTCCAGGATTCAGTTACCCTCTCTCCATAACACAACTGCTTTTTATTTAACACTTGGATGTGTGTGAGATACCCAATGCCCTCGTATGTTAAAATTCAAAACTGTCAAATTATATAGTGCTAGTCATCACCAATGTGAGGAGAAAATGCTAAATAGTATAGGACAAAATATTAGCACTACAACTCCATAAATTGCTTACACTCTGCATACAAAGTCTGACATTTATGTAAGTAATAGCTGGATTCGTAGCTGTGCATTACTTATTCACACCTTGTGTGGAATAACTCAGAGGTAAAAGACTCATCCATTAATTTTCTCTCCTCAGTCTACAATCCTAAGAAATCCTAAGCACTGCAAGACACTTTATCCTCTTAGGGAAAATCAGGCTCATAAGCTGAGGACAGCAGTGTGTCTGGTGCTGAAGAATGGCAGCATTTCCCCATGGTATGGCTATGCAAGCTCTGGTCAGTCCTGCACAGGTCTGTCATCTGTTTAATGCATGCACAGAGGCATGGAAAGTCCACATGTCCACCTCCCTCATAGCTCATGAGATGTCTTATTGCTCTTCCAAGCCTACCATGCTTGAGTCTTGTAACATTTTTGTGTTCATTTTTCCTTTAATGGAGCACCTTCTACCATCAAAAACGGGTGTCAAAAGGATATGAAATGAAGTACACTTTACTTATTTCAAATATAACATTTTGTAGACTATCATACCTTGAGGTTTTTCCCCATGAATAATTCCATATTGCATATAAACAATAATATCTTTTTCTTTTTAAACTTTCTTTTTTTGATCAACACTATTCAGTGTCTACGAACTACAAGACAAAACCAGCACAGAGATACGGTGAGATCTCAACCAGCCTGATTCTGGGGAGAAATTACAGACCTCTAAGATCTACCAAAAAGCAAGGCAAACAAGACTGGCATGTCTGTGGTTTGGCCAAATCATTTTGCACTTTTTCTTGGTCTCAGCTTGCATTACACCACTTGGTTGCATTGAACCCCACTCCTCCCCAGGCTCCGCTGTCCAGCCCTCTGCGTCACACCCTCTAGCACTACCTGGTCCTCCTCAAAACTGACAGTGGCTCTGCAAGTCTGCTACATGCCTCCCTGAGGACATGGACCACAAGGGACAAAGACCCCAAGGTTTCTCATCACGCTTGTGTGGCTGCACATCAGCCTCAGGTGGACCATCACTTCTGGAAGAGTAAGATAGCATCAGCCTGAGACTAAAGCAAAGGGAGCAGCATATCTTATGCAGAGGGTCTGTTGCACCATACACTGAGTTGGAAAGGTAATGTAGGGATTTTCTCCTTAAGGGTAAGCCCTTGGGCAGCCACTTTGATAACACTCTTCATCAGGAAATAATTGCCACGCATTATGCATCTTCCTCCTCTCCACGGGATGGAGTCCAATGGAGTAGGAAGCATGAAAGATAAAGATCCCTACCTATGCAAGAGTGAAATGCTGCCACCCAGCCTGTAAGACTACAGTTTTATTATGGTCAATCTCATTACCTTTGAAAGCACAGATACAGGGGAGCAAAGCAACATCCATACAGAGCTTATTGCAAATATGTTCAGCCGTACTGACATGTTGATTCATGAGCACTGTGTAAAAGAGCTACTGTTCCTGCTCTGTTCCACATGCTGGCACCCCTCAGCTCTCATTGCCACTGTGAGAGAGGTGCAGGGTGATCTCATCCCCCCATGTGGCAAGGGGTGCCTAGGGCCTCTGTGACTGCCATGGAAACATCACACCCTGCCACCACCACTGTGAACAGGTTATAAAATCAAAGAATAGGCGTTTTCAACTCAGAGCAGGAGACAGAGGTATTGCCTGGCTGCACATTTTGGTAGTAAAATGAATTTGCAGCCCCTATCATTTTTCAAAATCATGTACTTGATACCTATGGGTATAGCAAGAGACACAAGCACGTTTGGAGCCTGCAGCTGCCCCAGCTCCAGTGCAGATTATGGGTGCATGGAAGATTATGTGTGATGGGGTAGAAAATGGGGCACTCAGCTCTGACAATGAGATCCTCGCTTGAGCATGCCACAAGTGTCTGAGTATGCCTTGGTGGAAAAGAAGGGTGCCATGAAAGGACAAGGTGTAATGGGTTTAAACTAAAAGGGGGTCAATTTAGATTAGGTATAAGGAAGAAGATTTTTTACAATGAGGGTGGTAAAGCACTGGAACAGGTAACCCAGACGAGTAGTAGATGCCCCACTCCTGGAAACATTCAAGGTCAGGTGGGACAGGGCTCTGATCAACCTAATCTAGTTGAAGATGTCCTTGCTGATTGCAGCAGAGTTTGACTGATGACCTTTATAGGTCATTTCCTACCCAAAACATTCTGTGACTCTATGAGGCAGAAGTGCTATCACTGAGTACAGTACTGGGGGGGAGGATGAGCATCCACATCCCTTTTGCCTCCCGTCACAGGATTCTCGAGAACCCTAATCTTCATTTAACTAGCAAAGTTAGGTCCCTAGATCCTCTGTTTGTGGAAGAGATGCTTGGGGTTGAGGCAACTGAAGTAGCCTGCAGAAAATCTGTTCCAGTAGCCTCCACCAACTGTGAATTTCTCATTTTTGCCTGGAGCAGTTTTAATTCAGTGACCTAGCAATCACATTTGAAACAAACCGCATCAACATTCAGAGTTATAGGTGAAACTCACTCACTGGGAAGACCTTCTGAAAATGCTATCACTGTCCTCAGACCTAGTCAGACCCACTGGTGTGGGGAACACATAGTGAAAATGCCCTGTGCAATGAACTTGTAGGGTTAGAGCTGTTAATAATGTATGGGCATTTACCATACATTATGCATTAAGCTCAGGAGAGCTCAGCTAAAGTCAAAGGTAGATCAAACAATCCATGGGATTGGACTTAAAGTACTTGAAAGCTGCTCGTAGATCAAAATTCAGTGAGCAAAAAGGAACAGAGGAAGGTTCAGGTTGGCACATCCTCAGCCACTGCACCTGACCCAGAGCAGGAGCCATCTGCACAAGTCAGTGGTGGCAGTAGCCTCAAATTGATCTCCACAATATTTCTCTCTTTTGGGAGGGAAGGAGATAATTAACACTGTCCCTGCCAACCCTTGGAAAAAAGTCTTTGCATACTGTCACCATGCCAGGTCCCCCAAGGGACACCTGTGCAAGCCTGAAACATGTTTCGTAGATGGTGTGAGGGTAAGCTCTCCTTTTGGGAAACCTTCTTGCACTATCTGCATGACTGCAAGAGAAACCCTGCCCTGGGAATGTGCCCTCGGATGGTTTCTAAGGAAGATACAGCTGAGGCAGATGGTGCTCAGACAAACCTATTCTTGGCCCACTGAAAGACTGCAAGCTGCAGCATGCAACACAATACTTTGTGGTACTAAAGGACCTTCCAAATGAGGGTCTCACATTAATTAATTAAGCCTCAGAGCACCTAGAAGGAAAATCTATCCTATTTTACCAGCAAGCTCAATGAGTATGCAAAGGTCACACAGAATAGAGGAGCAAAGGAAAGAGAGATCCTGGTATCCTGACTCCTGACTCCTTGCTGCATCTATTAGCTCATGAGTCCCCTACAAGGGACATGCATGGAGGACAAAAGGTGACCTACAGCCACTCCCCAAGGGGCACTGACTGAGAAGTTTAATAAGGTGCAGAAGAATGAGTAACAGGGTTACACAGATTGACACAGGTCAATAAAGAATATGGCATTAAGAAAATTGATCCTTTCAGAGCTTCCAGCCACGTGCCTATGTCCAAACCAGACGTGACTTGTGTCTGTGTTTCATACGACACCACCAAGTACCCACCAAAGGGCTTTCCTTCATGTTTAAATAATGAAATGCAATGTAATGCCAACAGGTGCTTTTTTCACCAGGAGAAGGGAGAAGAAGTGAAAGCATTTGGGTGGGCTGAGGCAGAGCCTGGTTTTTTCCTGCCTCTCCCACCCCTCCCTGTCCACATGGCTCATGAGAAAGAGGTCACCCACAGCCGGACGTGCCCTTCTGTCTGCAATGCCCAGGAGACAAGCACATGGGCACTGGAAGAGAGAGTAATGTGTGTATGATTGGGGTGTGCGTGCACAGCATAGCAGCTACGGTGTCTGTGCAAAAGACGGGAGGCTGCCATGGGGAAGAAAAAGAAAAGTGCTTTACAGGTCATCATGGAAGATGGTTGGTATCACTGTGAGAACATTTCGGTTCGGATGCTGCCAAATACTTGACTAAACGTCTTGGGACTTTCCTAGCACACCATTTTGAGTGTCTCAAATATCATACAATTTCAGCTTGCTTGTGCAGGGAAATTTTGTCAATCTGCCAGACTAAAGTAAATATTAAGATCATCGCTGTAGGAAAAGAATATAATGTATAATCAATAAGGGACATTCTGGCAAGCTCAGCTGGAACTTAAGGCTAGCTGTGTAAAGCATCACGTGTATAAATTCCAGCAACAAATGTAATTGCTCTTTGTTCTTTGTCTTGCAGCCGGAATAGAAGTTGATGGAGAAGTCGAAAGTGACACAGAGAGTGAAGGTAATGTAGAGATTAACAAATGTGATCTTCTTTGAAATACAAGAGCTAATACCTTTTCTTTTTCTCCCTGGCTTGTGACTTGCTCTACAACATGAACTATTTCATGAGCTACTTGCAAGCAAACAGATTTTTCCCTTGAGGTTTGACTTATAATAGTGATATGTAAGCCACTGTTCTTAAGTAGGCTGTCCCCTTTCATCCATGATCCCAGAGCAGGAGGCTGTCAGAGCCCTCATTGCTTGGGAGTGAAACTCTAGTAAATCAAGCACTGCAGTAAAGGCATCACCCTGTGCAGGGCTGGGACCACTTTGCATTGTACTAAGGTCTGTTTGCCCTTCCTGTAATGCTTTCTTAGACCATAATACACTGGGATCTTGATTAATCATGTCTACAAGATAACAAAAATGAAAATGGATTGGAGGCAGACTGATGGCTGTGAGGGAAATCAGGAAAAGCCCATAGCAGGATTAAAAACATCTTTAACCCTGCATGTAGAGTATAAATAAAGAGAGATAGCTAAGAGGTAAGATCGTAACAGCACTGGATAGGTGATATAAATGGAATTGCCACTGCAAAAAATGCTTCACAAATGTGTCTGTATTATCCATAAAATATGAGAAAGTAATTAGCAAATGACTGCAATTTTTTTCTTTTTTTTTTTAAAATCGTATCCGCCTTTTCCATATAGGCAAAAAAGGTAATAAGATAAAAGTAACAAATGAATTCTTCACATTTAACCTGATATTTGATGGGTTGAAATGAAACTGTGACAGTTGATTGCCGCAAATGAACATTTTCCCAAAGAGGATAGGTGGTCCTTTGACCTAGATCAACAACTGAAATTCAGCTGAGATGGACAATTACATAGTAACTGAAACCTGCCGAATGGTTCCTGAGAAATTAGTTAAAAGCTCCTTCTCATTCCCAGTGTCAAGTGTGACAGCCACCATCTACTGCTTTTTTACCACTAACAAGCAGAAACTATTGCCTTGTTATCGATTTCTAACTTTTCACCAAAACAAAAAGACAAATCCTCAAATTCTTTCCGCTTCTATTTATCTCACCTTTTAGGCTCCTCATTTAACACCGGATCCCATTCCAGCACAGTTTCCTTTGTCCATTACAATATCTCTAACTCTAGCAAAAAAAAAAAAAAAAATTACAAATGTTTTATTTCTTTGAACACTTTACTTTCATCAGCCAGAAATGTTGGAAAATTAGAAAATGTACTAATGATTTTAATGCACTTGGTTGTAAAAGAGATGGGGACCTGTATTTTTTTTTTCTCCTTTCCATAACATTCTGCAATTAAATCATGCTCCATTTCAATCCTTGAAACTAGAAGCACTTCTGACTTCTGGAAAAAAAGAGGGGTTTAGCTTACAATACCAGTAAGAATGAAATATGCCTCAGAGACTATCTGGGCTTTTTCTCCTCCTCCAATACAAAAGAAAACTCAGGGAAACAAAACCGGATATTGCCTGAGCTGCACCTTTTCTCTCTATAAATAGAAGAACTCCTTCCCAGCCTTGAAAAGTAAACATCTTTCAAGGACATCACATCAACAAACAAACTACACATTGTATACCAGACTGCAATTTCTGTTTCCTTTGTTCTGGTGTGTTTACATGTCAGGAAGATATCTGTCTGTGCTCTCTGATGGATGGGCTTTTGCATTTGTAACTAATTTCTGATTTTCTTATGGTCACATAAAAGTCACTGATGTGCTAAATGAACCGTACTATCTTAAATGGGAGTTGCATAACAAGAGTTAGATGTACTTCTTGGAAAGGGCATAACACAAAGCCCACCGAGGTCAACAGGCACCTGCTCTTTGACTTCACCAGGGTTTGCATCAGGTATCCTGGCTGCCCACACTTTTCTGATGAATCCTTATTTGGCCAGCATGGATCCCAAAGTAATTGGTTTTTATCACTTACAGAAGATGAAGTAAAGGACAAGAAAACTAACAAACAACGCCTCAGGGAAACTGGCAGAGCAAGTAGACTTCAAAGCAAAGGGAAAGAGGAAGAGAAAGACAAAGAAGAAGATGACAGCAATGAGGAAGACAATGGTTGCCAACAAAATGGAGCTTCCAGGAGAAAAAACTACCAAAGGAAAAACAGAGATGGAAAAAAGGCAGGAGTGGAAGGAAGCCAACAGAGAGAGAGAGGCAAAAAGGCTCCTACCAAAGATCAAAAGGAATCAGAAAACAAAGAAAAGAAAACAACCAAGGAAGGAAATGAGGGGAAGAACAAACAGAAGGAAGACAGGAAAAACAGGTAATTAAACAATCTCTGACTATGGTGCCTTGTGTCAGACTGGCAGTGATACTGACATGCTAGTGGCATATGGATCAGAGCGGCAAAACCAATAGAGTGTAAATAAGTTTATGTTCTCCTAAAAGAGACACAACAGAGGAACACAGTGTAAAATGCCACACAACCAAACTGTTTCTAGGTCACTATCATTTCTCATCCAGGATCAGATCTGTGCATGTAGTGGAGTCCTAATGCCTACAGCACAGGGTAGACAGCTTGAGCACTTCGGATCTGCACACATTTTTTTGGTTGGTTTGTGGAAACGTTCAAGGTTAAAATGGATCCCTCACGTTTTCAAGTCTTCCTCTTCCAAATATCACCTGTCCCAACCTTCTGCTTCTCCCCATATCTCCCATTTTGTTCTGAAGGCATGAAAAGCATTTCTCCAGAGCCAGCTGTAGCCCTCAGCAATGCTTCTATATAGCTGAAGTACAGTCCAAAGCATGATGTTGAGTGAATTATGGTGGGGCACAATTGCCTCCTCATGATTCTGGCTGGAAACAGCCTTGCTCCAAGTGTGAAGGGCACTGGCACTGCACTGAGCCAGGGGATGGCGAGGCACTGTGCCCACATCAGAGTGGGATTCCTGGGCCAGTGGCACTGTGCTTATCCCAAGAAAGACCTTCCCTCTGACTCCTGTGAGTTTTTCTATTCTGTGTCCTTTATTTTGTGTGTCATTCAGTACTACTTCTGCTTCTTCCAACTCATCTGATGAGGAGTCATTGTCAGAGGAAGAGCTTGCGATGCTAATGGAGCAGGTGGAGCAAAAGAAAAAACTGATTTCCACGATGAGAAACAAGCCCTGGAGGATGGTGAAGAAGCTATCAGTGCTCAGGTACCCCTCAAACTGGAAACCCCCATCCCCGGCGTCTTTGCTGACTGTAGTCAGATGCACTTTGCCTTTCCCTGAAATTGTATATTTGCTGCTGCTGCTGCTGTAACACCACAGTCTCAGAAAAAGTGACGGGCAGAGCCTGGCCAGCCTGTCTGGGTTTAAATGAGCAGTTAAAATGTGCAATCTGATTTTCAGCCTCCGTAACCAAAGAACAGACAAAGTGCAAATCTGTTCAACTGATACCCATGGCCAGGTCATTCTACCCTTGTATTTAAAACCAAATGACTCACTACTGACAGGCTACTTGTTAAAGCCAACTCCATACCCTGGTTTGCTTATTCATGTCTGTTGTCAGACAAATCAGAGCAGCAAAGTGCCACGTTACTGCACAGGCCTGAGATGGGTCTGCTTGGAAAAAATGCTACGTTGTTTGCAGAGGTTTACGGAAAAAAGCTAATACTGCCATGCAGACCCTGCTGAACGTGGGAACAACTCAGGCAACAGCAGAGACCCGGTAGTGCAGAGAAATGGGAGGCAGTTGGGAAGGGCAAACCAGGAAAATCAAAACCCACAGGTCAACAGGGAATGGCTCATATCAAACCATTCCCATATTGAGGCAATGATTCAAATCCCAGTTTTATTGGTTAAGAATCCTCTGAAACCCCTTTCTGACAGGAGAGATTTCACAATAGCATTGCAAAGCACGCACAGTCCCATGGGGTGTGGTGATGCCCTTGCTCCGTGTTTACCGAGCAGTTGCTCAGAGCTGCAGTGACTGGGCTGTGAAGGCTGGCAGTCACCACGTGTCTCTGCTTCTCCCTTTTACACTCTAAAGGCGATGACCTGTTCCATCTTCCAATAAAATCATGAGCCGTGAACTCTGACAATTAATTCTGAAAATCTAGGTGAAGATCTATACAGAGAAATTGCATTAAAGTAGCTTTTCTCTCTCACAGGCATGCTATGAGCCTGAGCTCATTACAAATAAATTCTTATGTCCCTAAAATTCCAAAGTTCTGAAAGGAAAGAAAAGAAAAAAAGAGCAAAGCAGAGTTATTTCTGGCACTTTTTCCCTTCGGTGTAGGATCCTGGCTAAAATTCTACCTAGGATCATATTTGACAACATACCTCCATCCTTTCATCTTATTCCTGAACTACGGCAATCATTACTGCCTACTAACAAACCTAAACAATACTGTTGCATTGTTTATGCAGGGGTCTCCAGAAAGGCTCTCAACATGCTGTACATTCATTAATTATTTTGGATGCATAAACTCAACCCTGAGACAAGAAATTATTAGCCCCATTGCACAGACGAGGAATGTAAAACACAAAGAGAGTCAAACAATATGTTTAAGATTTAGAAATCTCACTTTAGGTTTGCAAATGAGGCCGCAGGTGGCTTTCACAGGGTTAAAGGCTGAACTAGCCAACTATTTCTACCAAGTGGAAGTCCATCTTTCTCATAGGTTTAGGATTGCAAACAACCTCCCAACTCCTAAAATTTAATCTCTTCTCATGATGTATTAGCAACACCAATTTATGATATAATTTTCTTCACAAATTCAGCATACCCTAACAGCATCTACTTAGATTATTTTCTCTGTATTTCCCTTACAAATCCTATTCTAAAACTAATTTAATTTTGCAGCTTGATTTTACTCCTGACTAGCGTACACTCATTCCTCTGGTGCTGAGATTATACCGTTGGGCCAACTGCACATTGTTGATATTTATCCAGGGAGGTCTTCATGGAGGGAAATTCTGAATCCTCTTGGGGTTTCTTTCGCTAGGCAATGTTATTTCCTTCTTGACCTATGCATCAGGAGAGAGAAGTTATAACAGGCCTGCAGGGTGGGAGAGCTCTGTAGGAAGAGAAACAGGCGGACTTTTGGTTTACACCCAGGAAGAAGTGTGGAACAATACTTGGGGCACATCTCTACATGAACATAAGTGCTTTGGGGACCTCCTACCTAGTCCCAGATGGGCATGAGAGCTCTACATGGCATAGCAACACCAGCAGCAGATAGCAGCCAGAACCCCATATGCACAATGTGGTGTGGAGAGAAATCAAGCCCCCACCTTCACACAAGCATAGCTGTTATCCCACTGCTGGAGGCAGATGTGAAAAGCTAAAGACCCCTTTGCTGTTTTAATAACCTGCCTGTTTATTTTTCAATCAGGGAGGCACAAGCTTTTGTAGAGAAGTTTGAAGGAGCTCTGGGAAAAGGGAAGGGCAAAAAGTTGTATGCATATAAGATGATGATGGCAAAGGTAAGTGCTGCAATGATGTCAAGGAAAGGCTTGATACTCAGTTAGGCATTCAGTACGTTTGTGGGTTTATTAACCTCTGTTTAGCAAAAGAGGCACCAGGAAGTCTGAATAAAAATTCCTGTCCTCATTCAAAACAATATTAGCTGACTTCAAATCTATTGCAGAAAGAACAAGGGGAAATTTACCCCAACCTGAAGGTCACCCATTGTGACCTTCCCTGAAGCAAGGGATGGTTTGCAGGAGCAGGGAAAACCATGGCTTTCTGGTTGCAACCTCCAAAACCTTGATCTGTGAGACAAGGTACCCCTAACGGGGAGAGAGGCCATGTCAAACTCTTGCAATACCCCATGTACTCCCATAAAATTTCATCTTCCCCAATGATGAGGAGATAATAGGGAGAACGATGGCTGTGTTTTAAGACTGAAGCTGCATGTTGTCATGGAGATTATATTGAGAAATGCAAAACAGAGACAGGTTTGAGACGATGAAATCCATGGGAGTTTAGCTGCTAGTGTGATGAGGAAGAATTCAAGTTCCGCGTTTTATCATATTAGATTTTGTTTTAAATAGAGTTGGTTCTGAACCAACTCTTTCAACCTAGAGCTAGGTCTGAATTTTCTACTCCCATGTAGTATGGTAAGCTCATAGCTCAGCTGCAGCTTTCCAAAAATCTGGAATGGTTAAAACTCAGATAATGAATGTGAACGGTTGCGGTTGGGGGGATTTCAGATTGAAGGGTGTTTCTAAAATAGTCCAAAAGAACAGACTCAGACCACAGTTCTTGCTTTAGCCTTTACACCCACTCCCAGCCATGCTACCAAATCCTGACATTAGAAAGCCCTGCAGAGAAAGCAGCCTCTCCCTTCACACCACTCTTCTCACTGTGATGTTGTCTTGTTTCAGAAATGGGTGAAATTTAAGAGAGACTTTGAAAATTTTAAAACCCAGTGCATACCCTGGGAGATGAAGATAAAGGAAGTGGAGAGTAAGTGGAAGTTGCTCTGTGGTGGCAGCGAGACATTTTGCAAGACAGCTTTGCCTTCATCCTAACAATGTTCCAGCTCTCTGGTCCCCGATCATCACTCACCCTGGGCATCAGTGCCAAACAAGGAGCACGCACCCCAGGCAGCTCCAGGCATCGCTGCCTCCATCAGTTGTGGGGACTGTTGGGAGGGTCATGGACAACACGTTGGGGAGACCTCAGGGTAAAGGGGTCCAGGTGTTGCTGAGCACAGTTGAACCCTCTCAAGCTCCTAACCACGAAATGTCTTCTGGTTTAAGGTCACTTTGGCTCCTCAGTCGCTTCCTACTTCATATTCCTACGGTGGATGTATGGAGTAAATCTTGTCCTTTTTGGGTTAATATTTGGACTGGTTATAATTCCAGAGGTAAGTGCTTAATTCTCCTTTCAGTAATATCTTGCCCAGCGCTTGACACAAACATGAGATGGATAACACAAACAAATATCTTATAACAGGCTTTAGAAAAATGAAACATATGAGGACAAAAGACTGATTACAAAGACTGTTACTGACACAGAAGCAAAAGATGGATTGATATCAGGAGACCTAAAACACTATCAAAGATCCTGCCCATCCAGCAGCTGAAACAGGAGCTCAAAAACCTAATTTAAGACTAGTTTTACATTTTGGCTAAAGTGAGAAACATGACATATCAATCCTAGACACAAGATCTGGTTTGCAAGAGCCATAAGAAATGGATTGTGCTCAGAAAGTAATTAAGAACTCCTGTTTTGGGCCCTCTGAGGGGCATGTCCATGGAACAGCAGCCATGGCACAGTCCTGCAGGAGGAGTTCTTGAGGGAATAGACAAAAAATTTCCCAGCACTTTGCCAACTAACATTTGCTTGGGAAACAGCCTTCCAATTCAGATGATTCACAAGCAATAGTTTTATTTTTAGTTTTTCTATTTCTTGCTTTTCTTGGAGAAGAAAAAGGATCTCATAGCCAAATTGATATGATCATTTATTGAAGATTTTTTTAATGTAGCCATTACAGCTCTGGCTAAATTACTCAGTGCAGTATTTAAAGGCTGTGCAATCCACAGACAGTGGCATCTGTTCTGTTCAATGCAGAATTTTATGAAGCAAAACTGCAGAGCAGAGTCTCTCCTGAGGACCATGCTTTTGTTCTCCTTAATGTGCTTGCTCACGCTATCAAAAGGGAAAGCTCAGTTTCCTCCCAGGACGAAGAGACATAACCATTAGCACTGTACAATATAAATGTGTTTTGTTAGGAACTATGCATATGGTAGAAGCCTTCGCCTCTAAAGGATGCACACTGTTACTCATTGCCTACTGAGCTGTTACGATATGGAGAATAGCTGGGCAATAAACATTTAATCATAAATTATTTTGAATGTAATTAGATAGCCCTAAAAAATAAGTGATAGTTATATGCTAGGACCTTTCTAAGCCATGAATGCTAATGAGATATTTTGGTATAAGCACCAGTCAGAGTTTGCTTGTAAATATATTAACTTTCCATAGACCTTGCCATTCTCTGTCTGGACTTCAACAGCTGCTGGACCAGCTGCAAGACCTGCTTTGTATGGTGCCATCAGGACACGCAGTGCCATTGAAACTGTTCTTTGCATCTTTTTGTCGTATGCTTTTTGCTCAAACCTAATTGCCTTCTACCTCACCTTGAGAACATTTTTCAATTCAAGACTATATAATACAAAATATACTGCAAGCTCAACCCAGTGCTTTTGACTCCTCTCAGAGGAGGAGCCCTGCATAAATAGATGAAATTAATCCCTTTATTGCCTTAGACCCATGAAGTTCAATCAAAGAACTTCTTGCTAAACTAAGGACATTTCAAGTGAAGCTGTTCATCGAAGGATACAGTTCCTCCTCGGCAAAATATTTCCTGTGCAATGGATGTGGCCAGGGAAAGGGAAATCCTCTGGTTATTTGGATGAAATTAATTCTAAATATTTTAAACTGCTGCTTTAGTATTAAGAAATAAAATATATATTAAAATCAACAACAACAACAAAAAAGAAAATCAGCCAAAAGCAAACCAAAAGAGACTCATTAAGAAAAAAAACTGTAAAATCTGTTATTAATGTTCTCCAGGTCCTGATGGGAATGCCGTACGGGAGCATGCCAAGGAAAACTGTACCCCGGGCTGAACAAGCAACAGCTATGGATTTTTCAGTACTTTGGGATTTTGAGGTAAGCATATGAGTGTTAATCATAAAAGATCAGTTGAATACCTCCTGAAACCCTTCAGAAGTTAGTAGTGCTACAAGGATAAATTTGTTCTAAGATACACCAGCTCCTATTTTTTCCAGAAGTTGAAGACACCTGTCTTTTGTTGCAACAAAATCTTTGTGGATGCCCAGAGATTTCTGGCCAAACCAGCATGTACACATGCAGACACTTGCATATGGATTTGAACAACTTCCATATACAAAAGTGCTGGCTGGCATACGTCACACGTGTGTATGTATACACAAAAGCCATTTTGCTTCCAATTCAAAAGGCAACCAAAGGCAGCCAGAATGAATGTGAAAGGCTGGAGCTGCTCCAAACCAGGCAGCTAGAAGGTGACTTCAAGCTGTGAACCCCCTTCATGGGCAGGGAGCACCTTGCCAGACCACTGAACTTGCTCATAGCCTCAGAAAGAGGATTGCTCCTCACGTAGGTGCCCTCCCTGTTCCCCTGATGTATTTATATGAGCCTGAAGCAGGAACCAAAATTTATGACTTGCACCCGAAGGGAAAACCCAAGTTTTCAGCCATCTGTTTAGTGCTTGGCTGCAACAACAACTCACCTCCCACCCCAGTTCCTTTGAAGAATTAGGCCAAACAGATTAAGTGTTTTTACCAGGTAGCCCAAAAAAAAGATGTGTGCAGGGAGTGAAGAGATTCTGCTGTGACTAATACTTTGGGACCTGACTTCCAAAGTTGCTATTTCTGGAAATATTTTTTTAATGCTTGTTGGCACTGGCCCACCTGTTACAAGCACGGGATCCAGTCCTTCTGTATTAAACCCCATCGAAATTTCCTTACCTAAAAGAACCCAAACCAAACCAACCAACCAAAAAAACCACAAAAAACCCAAAAAAACCCACAACCCCCCCTCAAAACAACACCCCAAACCCTACTTTGTTATAAGCCATATTATTTAAAATAGTTTATTAAAAAGGCTTCAAATATTGGTGTCCAGGAACCTATCAGGGTCAGGTTTTCATTCACTCCCCATTTTTTGCTGAGGATCCTTTTAGCTCTTCCTCTCCCAGCCCTTTCACCTACTTGCCACAATCCAAAATTCAGGGGTGAATAATGGACATTTTTAATAGCATTGCACTGAATGAAAAGCTCGTTTGAGTAGTGCACTGTAAAAATACAAGAGGTAGCATTTAAACTCATTAATCCAGGAAAAAAAAGCCCAGGCAAAATAAAACCCCCAAACAAACAAACAAATCTGAAAGAGTGCTGCTGAACTGCAGCTGCTGATTCTGTCTGCGAGACCATAAGCTGTAGATATATCAGTAAGGAAAATTGCCTCTGGACAAGTCTGTATCCTTGCATGAAAGGCTGGCTCTTATGACCTGCCAGTCTCTTGCCTTGCTGAGGTCTTGATCCTCTGAACCCCTCTGCCATACAGGTCTCCATCCAGTACCCATTCCCTTGCTGCCTGACCTAAGGGAGCAACCATGCAAACTTGAGAGGCCATCTCCAGCTGTGGGGCAACAATGTACACTGATACCCTCTGTAGCCAGGAGATGTCAAATGAAACCCTTCGCAGAGGCTTGCCCTTTGAAAATTAATAGATGTTTATTCCAGCATGCTCCACAGGAGAGGTGCGATGGGGAAATATATCTCAGAGCAGGCATAAAATAAAGAGTCAATACTGTGATCCTGAAAAATACCTTTCAAGAAAGAGGAGCTCAGGAAATGTATGCTTTGGCAGCAAGGAGGTCACACCATGGATTTTTAGAGGAGTATAAAGAAATAAATCTCACTTGGACACCATGTCTCACAAATGGAGTTTAAAGAACATACTGGATGATGTAAGCAGAGAAACTAATTTTTCAGTCCCCAGTATGTGATGAATCAAAAAGACAAAGGATTGGAAATTAGAAGCTGAGAAACAAACTTCACTAGCGCCTTCCAGGGGCATTATATTTTACAGGGCTTTTTTTACCACATCTCCCCAGCAGACATTATATATGACAGGCTACAAGCCCCAAGCAGATGTTCAGTGGTGTGCTGCCCACGGGCTTCCTGTGTTTCCCCCAGTGGCCCAGAAGCACTGACAGGAAAACATGCAGAGTGGTCCTGTATCTGTGGCACTGCACTTTGTGCAATGCAAACATGTATCTAACATGGCACCCAGGGATACCAAAGATTTTTATTACATTAGGAAAGAAAAACCTAGCACTTTGGGGGAGCTTAATTCAATTAAGTGAAGGTGGCCAAATACTGGAAGAGAGGCATAGAAAGGTTGTGGGATCTCCATCCTTGGAGATTTTCAAAGCTCAGCTGGACACAGCCCTGAGCAACAACACTTGGTTTTGCGATTGTCTCTGCTTTGAGCAGGGGGATTGACTAGATGGCCTCCAGAGGTCCCTTCCCATGTAAACCGTTCAATGTCTCTAAACAAGATCCATTACACAGCCTCTGATATGAGCTTCAAGTTATGTCTCAATTTTGGTCTTTCCAAAGGCTTGATGAGCAGGGAGATTGCTCAACTATCATGGCCAGACTGACTAAGTACACTTAACTAATAAGCTAAAAGACAATAAGAAAAAATAGAGAAGTACAATACGTAATGATACACATCAACTTGGATGAGATACAACAGAAAAATAGGGAGAGATTGCTAATGCCGGTTAGGAGGTCCGCACACTCGTTGAGTACCCAGCAGTTTGTACAGCAAAAAATAGGTCTTGAGACAACATGGTTGATATTTTGTCTGAGCTCTGCTTTCCACAGGAAAGTAATGCTTTGATTTTACTCTGTAGTTATATTTGCTCTGCAGGTGGCAGCCAGTAAAAGGAACTAAATCTGCAAAGTACTAAGTGTCAGTTGCCTCCTACCTGAAAGGAAAACATTCCTATCATGGAGGGAAAGTCCTCTGCTACAGCATTTCTATAAGATCCAAGTGTTTGATATTGGCTTAGAGAAGCAGGTGGGCCACAGCCACAAAGAGCAGTAAGGATGTTTTTCTGGGAGGGATGAAGCAGTGATGGATCAAAAATATATTTTAGTTTTGAGCCACTACCCTCTTACATGCTCTCCCTCATCTTCCCTCTCTTAGGAAGATAACCTCTTAGGAAGATGGCTCTCAAAGGTCACAGGGCACCAAACAGACAAGAATGAGACAGTAAAAATTTTCCAAGTTGGTTTTCCTTGTTTGAATCTTCAGTTTTCACTAGAAATCTCTTTCCTGCAGAAGAAAAGCTTCACAGCTTACAGAGGATTGCTTTTGCTTTTCCTCCAGGGCTACATCAAATACTCAGCACTCTTTTATGGCTACTACAACAACCAGAGGACAATTGGCTGGTTAAAATACAGGCTACCAATGGCGTATTTCATGGTTGGGATCAGTGTATTCGGCTACAGCCTGATGGTTGTTATCAGATCGTAAGTAAGCTGACATTGTCCTCTCTCCAAAACCCACCCAGATGTGTCTCGCAGCTGGGTCCCCCTCCATGGGCACAGCTCATGACTTGGTCCAGCCTTACTGGATGGGTGGAAAGGGGGCTGTGTGCCTGCTGTTTTCATGCACTCGGCCTCCCCATCCACCACCCTGGCTCTGGTGGGCTGGGCAGACCTGGGCACTCTCCTGCCTCATCCATGTACTCATGTGCACTATTTTGAACCCTCTCATCTCCTACTCCAGCCATCTTCTTCCTTCTCCTCATCTCCTTTTTAATCCTTCTTTCAACATTACTACAGGGCCATCAAATAGGTAGATTTTGTACATCTCCTTTTTAATCCTTCTTTCAACATTACTACAGGGCCATCAAATAGGTAGATTTTGTACATGAAGGAGGATGTTACTTGCAGTAAGTTTCCAAGGTTCCTTTTCCATTCTTTCATTGCAAAATAAACATTCCTGAAAGCCAGTGTGGGTCACACAGATGGTGCAAGGACTGTGGAAAAGAGCCAAATGCTACCAGATTGTTTTAATGTGTCCCTAAAACAATCAGTGGAGCTTAAAAGTGGCCACAATCTCTGTGCCCCTTGTGCACTGTCCCCAAGCACCAGTGAGGCTCCCGCAGCATCCTCAGGGCACTGAGGATGCAGCTGAGGCACTTGTCACTGCTGAGATGATCTCTGCAAAGTCCAAAATAAAAAAAAAATAAAACCTCCTATCTCTGCCTAAATGACATGCCATGCAAAGGTCTTCCTTTCTTTGGAAGAAAGAATAAGTCCATGGATTTGCATCACTGCTGAAACATGCCCTATTGCTGTGCAGCAGAAAGAGCCTCTTGAGCCTTTGGCTTGAGTGGGACATGGGGATTTTCTGTACATTTGCCATGAAATTGCAGCATCTGTTGTCTCGCCTTCCTTGAGGGACTGGTGCTAGGAACTCTAGTGGGACTTAGAGAAGGATTTCAGGAATCAAATAATAGAGAGGAAACAGCAGAAACCATATCTGCTCCTACACTGATTAACAAGAATAATCCTTTTTCTCTCCCTGCATTACTTGCTGCAGGCTCTTTGGCTCCAGCATTCTGCAGCAAGTGAAGTCTCACTAAAACTTTGTGCTGCGGTGGGTGTACTGTACAGCACCAAGGGGGTTTGACTAAATTTAGCTAACTAAAGGTAGCCATAATCATATACTGTATCCTAAGACCTGGAAACACCATAAATAGACTTTCTTCAGGTACTAGCTGGTGGAAGCAATCCTTAACCTCTTTAATCACCCATACTAGTTTTTTTCCATATTACTGTTTTTAATACAAGACCTGCATAGCCCTGAAGACACCATTTGACAGTTGAGTTCACTTTAAACCTGAAGTCTCATGGCACATATTAGTCACTCCAAAACCCCAAGAATGGTCATCCCACTCCATCTTATCCACCAGTAATCCACTGGTGCTGTTCTGCAAAGCTGAAGGAGACATAGTGGCTCTGTGAAACACTGTCTGACCTTGTCACTGCACACATCCTTATGCAGGATGGCACGCAATGCCAATGAAAGTACAGCAGATGGGGATGATGACAACTTCGTTTTCAGCTGGAAAATGTTCACCAGCTGGGACTATCTCATTGGCAATGCAGAGACAGCAGACAACAAGTTTGCATCCATCACCACCAGTTTCAAGGTAAACCTAATCAGCATTTCCTCATCTGCTTCTGGGGATGCTCCCAGTGCCTGCCATGGCAGAGGTTTAAGGGGAAATCTGAGTACCTGCACAGCATCTCTCCGTATGAACAGGTTATGGTGCTGGTCCATGGCAGCTCCAGCTTCTGTGCCCTTGTCCCCCTAACTCTCTTCTTTAGGATTTTTAAAAAAATTGTGTTACTTTAGAGTGCAGTTCCCCCACCACGTTCCCTTGAGACATGTCAGGCTATTTGCCATTTGATATCTTTCAGTCCAACCAGGATGCCTGTATGAAGCTTAGCTTGAATTGAACACAAACTACCAAGTTGAATATAGCCAGAATAGCATGGGATTGCATTTCATAGGGTGAGAAAACATCTGATGTTGCCTTATGCTTGGTGCTGCAAGATATTCATTCCAATTCTTTGAGCACCCCTGTTTTTTCAGGAGTCTATTGTAGATGAACAAGAAAGCAACAAGGATGAGAATATCCACCTGAGAAGGTTCCTGCGGGTTTTGGCCAATGTCCTCATCATATGCTGCTTGTGTGGGAGTGGCTACCTCATTTATTTTGTGGTGAAACGCTCCCAGACATTTTCCAAAATGCAAAATGCAGGATGGTATGAAAGAAATGAGGTAAGGAAACTTTACTTCCAGTTTTCTGCTTAGATAATTTGTCTTGGACATAAGCATAATTGTTGCAACAGCTTGAGGTCAGCATCCAAGGCAGAGAGATTCGCTACCAGAGTTCACTAGTTCCCTTCAGTACCTTTGCACTTGTTGTAGCTGGGAAGCACATTGGTCTCACTGAAAGTTTCTAGGACAAATTAACACCTCCTGCAGAGAGGGGGAAATAGTCTTACAGTAAATCACAATAAGAATCAATGGCTCTTTGGCACTTACAACACTGACCACCATCTTAAGAATCAAATTGCATGTTAACGCTTACAAAGTGTTGTACTAGAAAGCTCTCTGGGTGTTAGCAATGTCCATAATCAGACATAACTCTAATCCTTATCATCCACCTTGAATTATGGGAATAAGATTTTAGAATCTGAAGAAAAATTGCAGTAGTCAAAATTTTTCTGTGTCTGATTTTGGAATTAAAAGTTCAAACGTTCAAGCTCTTCACACACACACAAAAATGTCAACCTATGGAAAGCTTTAATTTCAACATATACTACATTATCATGTATTTATATATCAAAACCAAGTTAAATCCAAAGCCATGCATTTTCACAATTCCCATGGAAAACTTTAGCTAGACAGCACCTGCTCTCAAAATGCTTTGATTTATTACGGTGAACTTTTCTGGTGATAACCTGATAACTTTCTGGTGACAACCTGAGATCTAAAAAAATAGTGTTCTGGGTACTATTTCTTGTCCTGAAAAGAAAAGCACAAAGAAGAGACCTGTGTGTCAGAGACTGACTGCACCTGTACCAACAAAGTCCTCTACAGGCCAATGGACACCGTAGGGCTGTAAAAAAACACAGAGCCTGTAAGTCACACCTGAGCTAACCCTGACTGGCCAATGACATCACTGACCACAGTACAACTTATAATCTCTCATGATAAAGAGGAAAAAAGATGCCACTAGGACATGTTTTCCCGAGCTGCAAAACTGAGTCCTTGATGTGCTTCCATTCAAATCTGTAAATACCTATTGCAAAAGCAAAGGTGCTGAACGTGGAAAATAAACATTAGCATCAACTAATTATCTTTAGGCACACGGGCCAGTCTTGCGCTTCCTCCAAAACTAAAATAAGAACCTCGGAGCTGATGCAAGCAGTACTACAAGGTACTTGAGGAACCTAAATATTCATGAGTCTGGACTGACAGGGAACAAATCCTTCAGAGCTTTGAGATAACAGCAAAAGTGCTCCTGCAAGAGCAAGTTGTGCAACCCAGCCCTGAAGTCTGATTGCTGTGCTGCCTGCACACTAAGCAAAGCCAGAAACTGAGTTTGCTTTGATTCCCTCCCCTTCATAAATCCTTCAAAAATATCCAACCAGTTGCCGGCAGCCCCCGCTCTGGTTGAAGTAAGATAGTCACTGTTGTTACTACTAGCAGTTATCTCATTTTCCTCATGTGTCAGGTTGAAATTGTGATGTCCTTGCTGGGCATGTTTTGCCCTCCGCTGTTTGAAACCATCGCTGCACTAGAAAATTACCATCCCCGCATTGGGCTGAAATGGCAGCTGGGGAGGATCTTTGCGCTCTTCCTTGGGAACCTCTACACGTTTTTGCTGGCCTTGATGGATGATGTCAACGAAAAAGTAAGAACTGAGCCAAAAAGCCATGTCCACTAGCATTTTCCAGAGTCGAGGGTGAGCGTACCTTGTCCCCACAGCCTGCAGGCACAATCACCCCCTTTGCAGCAGGTGCTTCCTCTGTCCCCAGTCCTCGTGAGTATCGTCTGCAGTGCCCCGGGGAGACTCACCAAGCAGAGTCTCCAGCTTCTCTTTACAGCCCTGAAAAAAGCATGGTTATTGTCTCCTATAATCACAGCATGTTAGGGTAATTCGATTTTTTTCTCCATCAGACACTGTGTGCAATTTCTATTAACGCAGACCCCAAGGATATAGTTTATAATCCTCTTTCCCTGCCTCCCCTCTTTAACATTATCCTGGTAGTGTGTAGTGGGCAGATAACTGCAGGAAAGGATAAACGTCTAACTGATCCACAGAAAAAATTACCCTGTTTTAAGCTGAGAAGAATTAGAGGAATTTGAGGTGTTTTGCTCTGCCCTGAAAAATTATGAGGAATGTGAGGAAGGAGGACTGGATAGAGGCTCCCTCTGCACACAGTAGTTTTGGAAGAGGTCTGACTCCTCCATTTGTGGGGAGCAGGTTGCTTGCTCCCCAAAACTCATGGAGTCTCAACCTGCTCTCAGTCTGGAAGGGCTGCTGCTCCCCTACTCCTGGCCAAGGGAAGCAGTTTCTGTGCTATAGCCAGATTATAAAATCTGTTGTAAGCAGTGCCTTATATGATGGGTGGTAACTGGTAAGGGGGAGCCCAACGCCTTGGATTTCTCCAAACACATCCACTGAGACCTCTATTTTGTGATGTTTTTAGCCGTGGGGGTCTCTTTGTTGCAGCTGGCGGAAGAGGACGTGGTAAAGAACATCACGTACTGGACACTGCTTGGCCACCACAACTTGTCTGTGGGGAATGACAGCACTGCTACACCACCTCCCCTTGACCCTGCAGATGTGCCCAGGGGACCCTGCTGGGAGACAACTGTTGGCATCGTAAGAAATTTGTTATGTAGCAAGTCTCTGTGTTGGTTTGGGGTGATTCATTTTTTTGTTTTTCTTGTTGATGTCTTTAGCATTTCCAGGCTTGAAGTTTTCCTCACAAATGACACATCTTTTGCCTACTCTCATATAGCAGCACCAAGGCAATGCAAGTTCTTGGCCATGGTTCTCAAGCCTCGGTAGTGAAATCCTCAGCTGAAGCAACCAAGGCAGACACAGCTCTGCAGCACTTGCCAGGAGGAGCATAAAAGGCTGGGTAGTCTGCAGCCATGCCTGCATCATGTTCTTGTTCAGATCATGATTGTGCCTTTGAAGCAAACTGCTCTTCTTCATCTATTTCTGCACTTCCTTCACATTGCAGAGAGGCTTTGGTGCAGGAGTAAAACCCAGTCAGAGGACATGCCTCAAGGGAACTCCTGACATGTCCCAACCCATAACACGAGGCCATGGAATGAAAACAAAATTAGGCAAAAGTAACCCCCTTGAAAGGCATGCAGGGTGGCCTTCAAGTCCTCGATTTCACCACCCTGCATTTACCTTGCACCAAGAAGTTCAGCAGCCACACTATGCACAGCTTAAAAAGTAAAAGCAATTGTTTATTGGTTGACGTAGTTAGGGCTTGCCAAGCTACGAGGCTATGCATTCCTGTGCACACACGGCGGGTCTTCACTAGCTGAGTGGTTTTCAGTCGAGTGGGAAAAGACCCACCACCATCACTCCTCAGAAAGGGCTGATCCTCAGTGCGACTGAGCTGGTTTTTTCCTCCCCAGACTTTTAAACCTTTTCTTGTGTCTTTCCTTTAGAATCCTTGGGATACCGGTTATCTCCATCTGACAAGTGTTACTTCCACCTGCAATTTTACCTTTTTTGTCTTGCACATCTCCCTTGTCTACACTTACTCATAGCTCTTGTTTACAACTGAGCATTTTCCTCAGGAGTCCATGTGAAGGTCAAGGAGCTGAGCCATACCAGAGCAATGCACAATCAAAATTACTCTTGGAGTATGTATATTTTACACCAGCATTATTGCTGGCATTAACATTCTGCTCCAATTTTATGAGCTGCCACAGCATACAAGCACAGTCAATAATGCCAGCAGCAGCTATCGGGTCTAACAGCTGGAATGGAACTCGTAGTTCCCAAGCACAAAGGTAAAGCTTAGGCACTGCCGAGTGTTTGAAAACAGGCAGGGAGTTTGCTTGTGCTATGCTTTTCTGAAGGCAAATGGTCTAATAAAAAAATACAGTCCTGAATCCGCTACTGAAATTATAGGACATAAATGTTTTTTTCCCTTCTTTTAAATTTCAGGAGTTCGTGAGGCTCACTGTGTCCGATATCCTTGTGACCTTCATAACCATTCTGGTGGGAGATTTCATCCGAGCTTGCTTTGTGAGATTTGTGAATTACTGTTGGTGCTGGGACCTAGAAGCTGGATTTGTAAGTCAGTATCTTATAGCTGAGAAGATATAAGTAATTTAGGGCCATTTGGTCAAATGCTACAAATGAATTTGTTCTGAATGCTTCCAGTGGCCCTCTGGTCTTGTCTGATAATTTCATTGGTGTAGATAGTATCTGCATCACTTTTCTGGATCAATCAGTTCCATCCTCACCTAAGGACTTTAAAACATGAAGCTGAGTTTAAAAAAATAATCTGTTATTCATTCCGTTGTTATAACTCCAAACCTTTGGGCCCTTCTATACCTCTTCTCAAAGCCCCAGAACTTCCTGTTCATTGCCCACCCTGCAGGCAGTAACCTGCTTTACTCACAGCACCATCTTCTGATTGATGCTGGAAGCTGGTGTTACTTCTGCTGCAGTGGGGGAAGCAGCATTTCCTTGCCCTCTCATGTATGTGTAACTCACAACAGCATTGGACTCTTTGGTATTCCTAAAGACTACATTACCAAAGCAGCCAGTATTGCAGATGCACAAAACACAGAAGAAAATAATGGAGGGGTGGAGGGAAGTCCGTTGTTTCACGTAGCAGGAGACAAAACCAGATGGATTCAGAGAGAGATGGAAGTACCTTGCAAGATTACAAGTAGATCAGTGCACCCACTCCCTAGCTGTCCTACTGGAAGTGGTCTGGAAAACCTGTTCTGGACCTACCACTATTAGCACCCACATCAGATAGTTACAATACTGCTTTATATGGAGCAACCTAGCACCTAGCACAGAGTATAATGTCACCAAATACCCATCAGGCCATATGTTCCCTCATATTTCTGTCCCTTTGCCTATATTTCTGTTCTTCAGCAGCTTGGACCTGGGTACATGGATATATCCAGCATAGCATTTGCCCTCCAGCTCATCATTATCACCATCTAAACATTCAGTACTTTACCACAGTGGAACTGTAAGTCCATAACCAGACACACCAGCTGGAGTTTAAACCTAGTCCCCTGCCATGGCTCCTTTGCTTGCAGCTGGCATTATATTAGCAGGGAGAGATAAACACAGAGCAGCTCTAAGCACCTCCATATATCTTTCCAATTTTGAGCAAGCCAAGAGAGAAGCAGCAGCCCACAGCACAGTAGCTCCAATTCTGCCTTTGCCACAGTGCTGCTGGTCATTCAAGCAGTATGCACACAGCGGGAGCCCTCCCAGGAATCCCTTCTTACCAGCTCTAAATAGGCATCATATACCCAGTAGAAAACAAAAGCAGGTACCTCTAGCAACAACACACTTTCCTTTCTTTTCCCATACAGCCGTCCTATGCAGAGTTTGACATTAGCGGCAATGTTTTGGGTTTGGTTTTCAACCAGGGAATGATTTGGTAAGATACTTTTTTTTTCCTTTCTTATTTAGAAAACCTGTCAGTGGAGTTAGAAAGCCAACTAGATAAACCTTTAGGTTCTGTTTTTTCTGATTGTTTGGCTTTCTGTACTTGACTATAGAAATGAAAATTTAAAAATGCCAGCTTACTTATCCAAGAGGACTAGGTCCATGTGCTGGGGGTAGACTTTAGAAAGGGTTTGGGGAGAATCACGAGGTTACACATCACTGGAAGGGTGGGCATAGAGCCAGCTAGATCAAACTGGGCAGGAGGGGCATGTCACAGAACTGCCCCAAGGGAGGGCAAATGGGAGCTGCTTTGCCCTATTGTGGCAGCACCAGAGGCAATAGGCAACAGGAAAGAGCACCTTCACCTACTCTGAGAGGAAAGTTCCTTTTGCCATGGACTGATAATTTCTTCCTGTTACAACATTACAACATCTCTGCACATTTAAGAGAGTCTCCCTGTACAGGTTAGATTCACCTGACGTTTTCCAAGCTGTCTCAAAGCCATTTTTGTCACAAACTGAAAATCCTTCGCAACCACTAAGAGACTAAGTCCTCTCTGGTCCTCAATGTATGGGACCGTACCCTAATAAGGATGCAGGTGGCTTCTCCTCTGGAGCACGGGGTAGCATAAAGCCCAGACTTCATTTGTGGGCACACTTGCCACCACATGAACAGTTGTTTTCCTGCTTTTGAAAACAGAAAACCTTCCAACCTGTCAAAAAACAGCACCTGTCCCTCTCTTTTCCTTTTCAGGATGGGATCCTTTTACGCGCCAGGGCTCGTGGGTATAAACGTGCTGCGCTTATTAACCTCCATGTATTTTCAGTGCTGGGCTGTTATGAGTAGCAATGTCCCTCACGAAAGAGTCTTCAAAGCATCCAAGTCTAATAATTTTTACATGGGACTATTGCTGTTGATCCTATTCCTCAGCCTCCTGCCTGTGGCTTACACCATCATGTCCCTGCCTCCCTCCTTTGACTGTGGACCATTCAGGTACTAGCAAAACACCAAAAAGGACATTTTTTGCTCTGGGACATGGGATTATTTTTGTGAAGTTAGAAGACCTGGACTCCAACAGAGGTGGTGAAATGTCTCCTTTCTCCATCAGCTTAAATCCTTAGCAATGTGAGGTAAAGGATCATGTCCAGCTATGGGGTATAAACAGTCAGTTGGGAGCACTGAACATCCTCCTGTCTGCTATTTTCCTTTGCTACATGATTCCCGGTGTTTCCCCAACACACACCAATGAAAGCACCAGAGGACAGCAAGGTGCAGCCCCCAGAAAAATAAAAAAAAATTAGGAGCATCCCTAAGGCTCTCTGGAACATTGTGGGAGCAAAATGAGTTCAAACACTCCTTCATAAAGATAAGAACTCCCACAGCACGAGATTTTGTGTGTTGACTTTAGCTGGAAAATAGCAGGAAAAGGACAGGGGTGGCCTGAAGATTTGCAGCTTAAAAAAAAAAAAAAAAAGTTGTAGGTTTGTTTTTTTTTAATTAAGACAGAATCAGCACTGCATAGAGCATTCAGTGGACTGGATTAACATGCCAATAAAGTCTAATTTGATTGAATAATGCCATTTCCTGGGCCTGCTGGATCTGACTCAGCAAGGAGCCAGCTTGGAACAAATTGCTCTTGTAGATGCAGTGTTTTAGGTTATCTGCTTGCTAACAGAGAACGACAACAGAAAGCTGAAAGACTTGGGGGAGAAGGCAAGAGACCAAAATACCCTCAGTTCTATAACAAGGACAGGTGTCAACGAATAATGTCAGAAGATCTGACAAGAAACTTGTTGCAGGCATGCTATCATTTGGAGATGACTAATCTGCAATGTGAAAGAGCTATTTCAATTCCCAATCAACCCTTCAAAAGCCACTCAGCCTGATTCAGACCCTGGCACACCACTCAGCTCGACTGAAAGCTCAGCTCTCCCGAGCGTCTGGCAGTTGATGAAGTTGGGATACTGTTTAGCCAAGTTTGCCTTTATTGACTCTCATCATCAGAACAGAGTCCAACACCCTCCTCTGTGGAATCCTGCAAGCTCCCAAGAGGCAACAAGCCCTAAATAGGAGGAATAGTACTGATAGGGTTGAATTCCCAGACCCAGACATGCTGGGGAAAGAAGAAGGTCGATTGCATAATCCAGCCTTCTACAGATTTGTTCTCCTTTCATACAGAATACTCTCATCTGCTTTATCAATCCGGCTAGAAATTACTCTTTCAGTGAGTTTCCTATTAAGCAATAATCATAGCTTGCTATTTTTGTCATTACTTAGCAGCACTTCAAGTTGGCTCATTATTTCAGAAAGCAGGAATTTGCATATGGAAAGTCATGAAAAGGCCATATTTAACAAGATATTGATCAGAAATCTATAGTTACTGCAGTCTGTAGTTTTTATATATTTCAGGAGGGTAAACAGTCAGAACTCACAAAGGAAATAAATGAGCAAGTTGGCCTAGCAAGGTTTGTTCTTATAATCAGTGGAGGAAGGGAGGGAATGAATGGACCAACAGATAATCTAAAATCAGGCATTTTAAAATCCTTGGTGGCTTGAGCTGATGCTCACTGAAAGAGGGATAAAGCATACTACTTAGCATCATTAGACTGAATGGCTTTCTACAGGAAATATCTACACTCCTTAACTGGTTGTTTGTCTTTCCAGTGGGAAAAAAAGAATGTATGACGTCATTCAAGAGACCATAGAGCTTGATTTCCCACTTTTTGTTGCCAAGATCTTCAGCTATGTGGCAAATCCAGGACTGATCATACCTGCAATTCTGCTCATGGTGTAAGTTTTCCTTGCAATATTACATGTCTGGGTTGGGGAAGAAGGTTAAAAACCAAAAATTCTGGGATATTAGTGAGGTCTAAATACACTTTCTGCTGAGATAACAGTACAGATTGGGGCAGACACATGCTCTCTACCCCCCTCACTTTTGCCTAACCCAATTTCCCCAAATTTAATTACCTGACCCAATTAAACACAACTTTGTAAATGAAACACATTGCTGACAAAGGCCCTGTAGATATCAAAGCTGTCACAGCTTCCATATGAAAAATTTTCTGTAGCCAGTAGGAAATAAATGGACAGTCTCAGCCTGGTGCTTTCTGGAGAAGCAATTTCTGTCACAGTTGGTGGTATTTAGAGCACAGCCATGACAGGGCATTCAAAAATTACATGTTCCAAAATGTGAAGAATTGTCAGTTTTGTTGAGGTTTTTAGGAATTTTAATTTTTCATTTTCCAAATAATACCTCTGGAATTTGTTTCAGTGCCATTTGATCATTTCAGCTTTGAAATCACTCTTAAACCCATGGCACCTTCAGCAGTACTAGGATCAGGGCAGTTCTTTCTTTTGTTTTAAAGATATTTTTGCCATTATTATCAAAGTTTCCAATAACTATCAAAGTAAGTAGGAGAGTTGGGGCCAGATTCTATAGGCAGACTTTAGACTAATCAATGTGAGAAAGAGACAGAACTGGGGTGCCTATTACATACAGAGCTTGCCTGCTTGACTATTCCTGGGTCATCCACACATATTGGAGGTGGGCCTCTGGGCTGATCCAGTACAACTTTCCTTGGGCACAGAGATGCTTCATTCTGAATAGTTACGCCGAAGGTAATGCCATTAAATTAAATCAAATACAAGTTCCCATTGTTACAAAGTTTCTTACAGAAACAACCTGAGAAAAATCCTAATTAAACTTAAAATGACATGTCACCCCCTCTACCTGACTCAAGCTACTTACTCATTTTAACCTAAAAAGGATGATCGTATACTGTGCAGACAGATCCTACACTTAGAAGAATCAGATCAGATACATGCAGGAGACAAGAAGTCTCACATCGCATCCCTATTACGACCAAGTATATCATTGAGTTATAAACTCTATTCCTGTGGGCTTCACAGTAGCACTGGCAGATGCCATTGCAAACATGAGATGAAGACTGCAGAACTAACACTTCCCAAATGGACCACCTTTACAAAAGGGCTGTAGGCCAGATTTCTGAGGCTTTGATGCAACCCTCAAAAAAACTGATGGGAGAGCAGTAACACCTTTGAAAATAATGGGTTTTTTTCAGTTACAATCTCCTGCCCTTTCCTCCACTGACAGCTGGGACAAGGAACAGCACAAATCCAGTTTATTTGTTGATGAGACACTTTTTATCACCCCTTCCCATTCTCGACTATTCCCACACCATGGCCTTACCATCAGTCCATTTCTCCTTGAGACACCATTTTGTCTCTGCCCTGATTCCTCTCTGAAAACTGAGGGATACTTTATGTCCACATTACCTAAAACATTCTCCTTTCCCACCCAGATAAACTGCCTGTGTGACCTTTGAGGATATTATATATTTTTGATTTCCAGCCATTCAGCTCTGAAGAGGGTCACAGCTCTAAAAAAGTGGTTTCCCCCATGGTGCCTGGGCAAGTCAGACCTACAGCCCCTTGGCAGTAGCTCTCACATGCCCCAAGACCATTGGGTGTCTTGCAGAAGTACTGCTTTTTATCTGCATGTACACTTTGTCTGGGATAATCCCAGATGAAATCATAGCTACCATATAAGATTGTTTCCTAAGGCTTCAATCCTTTTCTGTTCTCCTTTTCAGTCAAGTCCCCAGTTTCCTGCCTTGTCTCTGAAAATATTCAACTTCCCCTCTGCTTCTGCTGTGCTGCTGACAGGTAGACAGGGCCAGGCTGGAGCTTGTCCTTACGCTTCCCCATCTAGCTTCCCAAAGGATTGAAACCAGGGAAATGCAAAAGCTTCATTTAGTCCCAATGGGCAGAGAACCACTCTCAAAGCAGCAGGCAAGGCAACCTACAATCCAGTCTAAGTAAAAATAGCCTCTACAATAGTGACATGTGGATTGTAAATGGACAGTCTGTGGATTTTGATTGCAGACACTGAAAAAACGTCTTTTCCACTTCTGTGGACTGAATTAAGTAATTTTCTCTAGCCATGATAACCTCTTCTCTTTTTTCCAAGTCCAATCCAAAATGCATCTTCTATCTGTTTCTGTTCTTAGCTCCTGGTCTCAAACAATGATGGGGTCCAGTGAATAACATAGGCGTCAAACTTACTGTCGTGCTTCTAACTGCCTAAGAACAAGGGAAATAGGAAATAAAGAGAAATAAGAAGCAGAGATATTGTACACACAGGCATATAGCCTAATTCCACTCAGGTTGAAAGCAGGATTTCAAGCCGTGGCCTGCAGAGCTTCCTGGCAGAAGCTAGAAGCACCTTACTGCATCAAGAAGAGGGGAAAATTAAAATTCCTGTGCAGACTAGAAAAGGACAGTGACCCACACTCTCCCCCGATCTGGGGAAGCAGTAAATCAGAGAAGAGAGGAGTCAGGGTGTCATAGTTTAAGCCCATATGGAAATTAAGCACCACACTCACTTGCTCAATCCCCTCTCTCTGCCCCCCCCAGTGGAATGGGGAGAGGAATCAAAGTAAAACTTGTAAGCTGAGATAAGAACTTAGTGAAAACAAAGTAAAATATAGTAATAATGGTAAATTATAATAATAATGATAATAAAAGGAAAAAACAAGTAATGCAAAATACAATTGCTCACCACCTGCTGACTGATGCCAGACCCCCATTCTGGGTAACTACCCTCAGTTTATGTACTAGGCATGGTGTTCTCTGGTGTGCAATACCCCTTTGGCCAGTTTGGGTCACCTGGCTATGCTCCCTATCAGTTTCTTTTGCATACCTTCTCACTGGCAGAGCATGAGAATTAAAAAAAAAAAAAAAACACAACAAAAAACCACAAACAAAACAAAACAAAAACCCAAACAACAACAACAACAACAACAAAACCCAAACAAACAAAAAAAGAAACAAAAAAACCCCAAACTCCTTGACTTAGGATAAACATGACTCAGTAAAACCCAAAACATCAGTGTGTTATCAACACCGTTCTCATTCTAAATCCAAAACACATCACTCTAAGAAATTAATTAACTCTCTCCCAGTTGATAAGAGTTAGCAGCTCAAACATGAGGGTGTATCTGCAGGCCCATTTTAGAGGGAAGTAGACCTAAAGAACCCCACTGAAAGTGGATAAACTTCATTTGCTAATGCTTACTCCATTCCTCAGCAAAGTTTACAGCTGCTCATGTTGCAGCTTACAGTCAGACCAAGATCTGGCTTTGCTCTGCCTTTTTTGGGAGCCAGCACTAGCAGTGCAAATCAGAAATTCAGCAATAAATCCAGCACACCTGTAGGACCTGTCCAGGATATTGGTGTGCACCTTGGAGGATCACACAGACTGCCTCATCATTGCTTGGGCAACCCAATCCAAACATGCCTGACTCCTGCAGATTTGGTCTGCACCAAAGGCATGCCCATCAAATCACCTTTCTGTGGCACTGTCCCTTTCCCCTCTCCCTTTCAAGATCCCTTCAGGGTAGTTCAATCCTGAACAAGCACAACCTCCCTTAAGCAATAAACCTGCAGTAAACCAAGGACAGAGGAAACTCAGGCTTAGCCTGGAGGCACAGTGGGCTTATATCTCACAGTGGTTTGGGAGAGGGACCTGGTGAGCTCATGCCCTTCCCATCAATGCAGGAGTCTTCAGGGGAAAAAGCCCTGGTGGTTGGAGGCAATACTGGACATTAATGCAAAGGGTGAGAAAGGGCTGGAAAGGGACTGGAAATGGATTTTCTCAGTTACTCAGTGAACCTGAGAAACCAGCTCAGAACACAGTACCTGGCATCCCAGATGGCTTTGAACAGCCAGCTCTAGTTATCTTCATGAAAACAAGGGTGCTCCAGGCACTTACATCCTGGCTGGTCACAAAAAAAATGGCAGGGCAGCCGCAAAGCCCCGATTAAAAAGTAATATTTTCTAGGCAATGAGCTTAATAACACAGAAGAAATAAAACTACCACATCTTTACAGAAGAACAAAAAAAACAATTTTCAAGAGGACAGAGAGCCCAGTTCACCAAGATTGAGTTTTGAGGTAATGCTAGGCAAAAGGAAGCAAATGTGTTTCCTCTAGACAGACCCCTGTAAAAAGACTCAAGAAAGGTCATCCTAAGTACCCCTTCCTGATCTCCCACCTGGAAACTAATATGCCAGTACATGATGTCTTGCTGGGCTTAGAGACATGCACTCTGTTGATGAAATCCTGGAGTCTGGTTTGAGGATGCTGAATCTGGGCTGAAGCCACACAATCAGGTTATGAATTGTCAGGAAACCTTTTTTTCCCTACCTTTTTTTTTTTTTCCTTTTATATAAGAATTTTCTACTTTATTTAAAAAAAAAATACCAGCTATAGTGGTGAACTGAACGGCTGGTACTTTTCCTGGGAATGGCTTGAGCCACTGAGCACATGATTTTTATAATTTAGAAAAATAAAAGCACTCTAAAAAAAAATCACGGAGACATTTTTTACTACCAAAATATTACTTGCTGGTGTCAGAGGTGGCGAGACAGACACAGACACTTAGGCATGTTTTAAAACACAAGCCTCCCTGCATGCCAAAGACTGGCAGCCAGCATGCGCTCTCCCACCCCCCCTTGCCTTTCAGCTCCCTCCAGCTTGGCTTGGTTTTCCCCTGGTTTTGGCATGTCCTTTTTGGAGAAGAAGGGATTGAAACAAAAGCCAGTGGCTCTGCTCCAACCTGGCTTTTGCTTGCCCTCGATTCCTGTCTTTGCTCACTCTCAAGGGTCCCTTCTGGGGATACAGGATGCAACTGGTTCTGGCAAAGGGGGAAGGAGGACTGTTCCTTGAGCACTACTTTTCAGGAGAGGCTTCAGGCCCTGTTCTGCCACTATTTCCTGAGTTTCCTATTTTTTTCGTAAGGTCTCTGTGTTACCTGGTCCCTGTTCAATTTCAAGGTTGGTGCCTGGTTTCACCAGGACTGCTGGAAAGGAAGTGAAGGGAGACCATGGTTATCCAAGGTGGAGGCAGGAGGGTAGGGTTGTCATTTTTCTTCTGTTTGAGCAGAACTGAGCTACTGGATGGGCTCAGTGCATCTCAGTTGACCATGCCTCAAGGTAGCCTGAATTCTTCCTAAGCCTTGAGCCTCTAAAAGCAGTTTGGAGATAGCTGGTGGGAAAACTAGGTATTAGAAGGTAAGCAAAAAATTAAATGTTCCCTCCTGGTGAAACTTTCTCCTGATCCTGTCACTACAGTGACATGTTTCTTTTTCTAGCCTTGCCATCTATTACCTAAATTCTGTGTCTGAAGCGTATCAGCGAGCCAATGCAGAGCTGAAGAAGAAAATGCAAATGGTAAGTATTGATCTGGCAAAGTCATCCTTGAAATACATCTTTCAATTCTGATGTGTAACATATATACTTTTAAATTACTCTTCACTTCTGAATTCATTGGTGACAGAAGAAAAAGACATATTTTATGCTTGTTCAGTCCCCTCTGATGGCATTTAATGGCTAACTGCAAAGAATGGTCACATCCCATAATAGGCTGCTATTTCATACAACAAAACTACAGTTCATTTTCCCGTAAACTGTGCTTTCCACCTACAAAAATAAGTTACTTCGAAATTTGAGCAATGCTTTGGTGCCTGAGATTTCCCGGGGACAATGATAAGCCTATCAAAACTACAGCCAGATTTTGTACAAGTTGAAAAGCAATGAGCCATAAATAACATGGCAATAACAATATTTTCTACCAGTAATTCTCAAAACACCTTACAAAGGAGGCTGGCATCTGTCTCTGCTGTGCAAATAGGAAAAGCAAGGTACAGACAAATGCAATGACTTGAATTAGCAGGGTAGGATTTGGACCTCATGGTATCCAGAACTGTGAGAGGTTGCAATATGTAGAGGACTATAACACAGAGAATCCTGAACTAATATGAACAAGGTCTGGCAGCAGAACACCTGCAAAAGCACAACTTTGCTCAGAGAACGATTCTCAGTGAGAAACAGCAAAGGTGTTCTGGTACCATGGCTTGTACTGGTCTGGCAGTTTCCTCCGGAGCTTTCCTGGTGCTGTTTGGTATGACATAGATGTGCCCAAACTACCAAGGCCTTGCATCAGGAGAGGATGTGATGTCATCAAATGTTATCAGCCATTTTACCAGTACAGGGCAGGCTGCAAACCAAAGAAGCAGTGCCACATAAAGCAAAACATTGCATAAAGCAGAGACCGGTGCAACATTAAAAGTGAGGGTGTGAGCACTGAGAAATGAGACTCCATAAATTACATTCAAATGCTCAAATCCAAAATTGATCACTCGTGCATACGGCTTAAAATAAGTGCCTTGGTGCAAAGGGCATCCTCAAATATTGCAAGAGTTGAACACGTGCTGCAGCACACTCGGACTTAAGGGCACTTGGTCTATTTCACAGTGCCCAACCAAGGTGTGATCAGGCCCATGTGCTACCCAAAGGAACAGAAACACCTCAACACAAGGACCTGCCTTTACATATCCTTGTGCCACAGGAACCTGTAGGTTTGCTGAGACAACCAAGTCAGGCAAGAGGAGAGGTACACAGCAGAGCAGGGGAAAGGAAGGGTATTGGCACAGCCCTGCTGCTTAGGGAGAGAGGAATGAGAGCTGCCTGTTCATGGCAGGGATAGTCAGCAGTTGGAGCCCACCAGAGACCCCCATGTGATGACCTGCTGAGCTCAGAGAGACCTGGCGTGGCTGTCCCCAAAGTCTGCCAGGTTTGCCAAGTGGATGAAGGCTGCTCTGTGGGTTGGGACCACTCAGCTGTAGCAAGGCCATGAGCTGCCCTGCATTCCATGGTTTCAGTACACAAAAACTTCCATTGGCAAATACCTCTTTTGGGGTGAGAGATGGAGCTGGAGTGGAGTCCATCCAAAGTTTCTCACTGCATAAGAGAGGGCAGCCTCTCCCTTCCCTTTCCAGCATGCTTGTTCTGAGCAGAAACAGGTTATTTTCTTCCCTCTACCATCCAGAAGAAAATCTTCTGAAGACATAAATATATGCAAGTGAAACCAAAGACAACCCTATAACCCATCCCCATGCTGCCATACCCTCCTCCTCTTCCTTTGGCATTTATCCCTGACACTCTCTCTCACAAGAGCTCCACATTTCAAATAAACCAAAATGACAGAGAGGATAGATTGGAAGTTGCAGAAACATGCACAGTCTGGTAGACTTAAACCATGTTACGAGCAAGTGTTTTGTCCTAACAGGAGCAGAGCCATTCCTTCCCAGGCTCTCGTCCCCCTACCTGGGACATACTTTCTTTCCCAAAAACACTTGGTCACTGGACAAAGATTCAGCCCCTTGAACTTCGCAAAGAGTTTGCATTCATACCAACAAACACTTAGCCAGGCCAACCATGGCACCAGGCCACCATTTCACAGATTACATCTGCAGTTTTAAACTAACCTCAATGTTTCTTATTGATGCAGCAACGCGAAGAGGAGAAAAACAAAAGAAACAACAAAGCCACCACCAACCCCATGCTGCAAGATCTGGAGGATTTACTTACACCAAGTACGAAGACTGAAAGTCACCCCAACCAAGAAGAAGGTAAAACGCAATGTCCCTTTCTGAAAAGGCTCATGTAGCACCAAAATGATGGGGTAGGATTGAGAAACTGGAGGGATACACATTTGCAAGCTATTAGATGAGCATAACTAGCATAGATTTTTTCATTCACAGAAGTCCACCTGCGAATAGACACCCAGTAAGGGGACTTGTTAGATTGTGTCTCACACAGGCTTATCACAGTGTAGAAATCATAATCCAAAGTTATAATTCACATCTCAGCTATTAACCATGCCGGTCATGAAACCAGTAATTTATTCTGGGAACAATGCTTAAACTCCAGCGTTTTTTCTGGGCTGATGAGTTGAGTCAGGTACAGACTTTTTTCTGAGCTGAGGTTTTCATTGGAAAATTCATCATGAATGAGACAGAAGCTTTTCACAGAAGTGCATTGGTCTTAGGGCAAATAAATGCATGCTGTAAACTCTGCTGTGGGGGTCCAAAAAAGCAGGAGGAGGCATCGGGATCTGGGCACTTTCAAGGAAAATAGATCCTCCAGGCTCAGTCTCAACCAGTCACTTCCTGACTGGCAGACCTCCTGCTCTCATTTGTAAGAAACATGTGAAAGATTTTAATTCTATCTTGATAAAGATGAGGAAAGCAGACTAGTGCCACCATTACTGGCATTAGCACCACTAGAGCTTGCATTAAATGGGCTGAGATGAGCTGGAAAGTTTAGAGTAACCCAACACAGATTCCCCTCAGAGCAGACCCAGGGCAATCATTTAGATTGAAACAGTGCTGGCAATGTTTCAGGTGCACTGAAACTAAAGACTAAAATCAGCAGTTACCCATGACCACCCCATGACTAGAAGTGTACCAGCACGGCTGGTAGGATTATCATGTCTTATAAATGCATCAGTAAGAACCTGCAAAAATGGCTTGGGCAGAAGAGACATGTACTGGCTGTTGGCTGGGGCTGAATGGTTTTACTTGTGGTTTCTTCTCTCAGATGCCCAAACACAAATCCCCAGACACTCTGGTTATTGCACACAAAAGAAACAGCAGCCACTGGGGAGAGGACAAAAGGCAGTGTTTGCTCTCAAGAAAATAACATTCATAATCTTTGCTCTAGAAAAGAAAATGGAGTCTCCTGATAGAACCAGCCCTGTCAGGAAACCCAGCAGAGGAGCAGTCCCGGATGGCAGCCCCATGACTGGTGGGAGAGGAGCAGCATTCACCCCACCATCACACGTGTTTGTGACACAGCCACTGACACCAGGTGTCTGGGCACCGTATCCTGGCCAGCCCAGGCCACGGGGGCACCCACTGGGACTAGTCCCTGGAAGAGGGAGAGGGCAGCCACGCTACTTACAGGCTGCTTAATAAGCTCAGCAATGCTTCTCCCATCTGACATTAAAATAGAGGTGCTGCATGAACTACTGTAGTTTTAGCAGGAAATTATTATTGCATGTTGCACATCCACTCGTGATGGTCTCTTATCTATCTAACACTACCTAACAGAGATTTGTTTAGACACTTAGTAGTACTTTGGATTTGTAACCTCCAAAGGCTGCGCTGATTTTGATTGCAAAGGAAACGGGAGGCAGCCAGAATGAAAATCAGCTGTGGCCCTGCTACACTGTCACACACAGGACGCAGCCCTGCGGCCACTAACAGCAGCACTAACAGTGGTGGGCTCGCTGTGTGGAACAACTGCCTGTCAGTCCTTCCAAAGGCTTCTTTAATTAATAAAAGTGGTGTGAGTTTACCTGTCATTTCAATAGAGGTGGTTTGGAGGTTTTTTTGCTGTCCTTCTACTCGAGGAATTAAGTATTCTTCAAAAAAAAGTGAGTGTCCCAGTCCAGCTGCAAGCCAGCTGCTACTAGGAGTAGAGGACTCCTATTAAACCAGCAGAGCAGGACGTTTTGTCAGCTGCATTTGTGATAGCTTTTCTCCAGTCTACCTGCTCCAAACTTTCATATTTTTGTTTCAATCTCACCACCACTTTCTCTGGGTTCCTCTTTTCATAGTCTGTTGACAGCAGCTTGTACCACTATTTCAATCCCTGGATAGGATTCCTAGTCTAGCAACACCACCCAGCACAACTGAGAGACTAACAGTGTTTTTGCCTAGTTTCTGATTATAACCAGTTAGAAATTCCTGGTGCAATTTCAGAACAGTATCTTCTATATCTACAGGACTTCCCAAAACCTGTGGCAGAGCTTCTCTGGGCTGACCCGCTTTTTTACACCTACAGCTTCTTCTTGTTGTTTACACAAACCCTCCTTGATCTAAGGCAGCTTAGATCAACATCTGTTGTTCTTCTTAAAACTGCTATAAAAAATGAACTTCTTCAGTAAAACCAAATCCATAACCATAGCTAGTAAAAATTCCACTAAAGCTGGAATATTTGGATTTAAATGTTCTCACTTTGAATTTTTCCACTAAACGCCACAAATCTTGTCATATATGCTATGGTCAGGACAGCAAACTCAGTAAACTACTTCTCCTCTATAGCTTGACAGAGCACAGAGCATTTGACCTTCAGCCTGGGAACATCCATCTTCAAGGAGCTGGGCAAAAGGGTCCAGTTAAGTCAGATATAAGGCAGGTGGAAACAAATATTCAGTTTTTCAGGTCCAAAACAACAAAAGTATTTAGGCATCTGATTCCTCATAGGAATTACGAGATTCAATATTGTGCTGTGCTTATCTGTTGATAGAGATCTAGCTTGTTTGTTGATGTCTGTGCTTTATAAAAGAGACCAGAGCCCTGGAGAAGTACTTCCAGAAAATACAAGCAAGGGGCAAATAAAAGGAAAATTGAGAAATTCTTCAAAAAATAAATCATTGCATTGTGCTTTCAAATACAGAGGAGTCAATGTCTTATTTCAAGAATTAGCTGTTCCTGGTGCACATCTTGAAGTTGGTTTGGCTGTTCCCAGGCACACTGCTATGGTCAGGATCGGTTGTTCTCCCAGGGCCTCCACGATAAAAACTGCTCAGCGGATTTATTTCCTAGCCTTGGAAGGACATTTCTCTGAGCTGGGTCTCATAGATAAGGTCTTGTCTTGCCTCTTTGCTGTGAGAGTTGCTGATGCAACACAGCTGTGGTGACCTCTCTTGCCATCTCTCTTCGCAGAGATGCCCAGTCACTCTGCTGGAAAAAGTCAGCAAGAGAAGACCTTTTTCAGGAGACAGAAGCTGTGGCCCCCCATCCTTCTTTGCAGGTGTCCATATTGGTCAGAAAGTGCTGGGGGAAGGTGCTGCCAGCCTGCTAATCCAGAAGGATGTCACAGAAACAATACAGTGCCCTTATTTCAGCCCAGTTGGTCTGCCCTGAACACTCTAGTATCTGGGAATGGTTGCATAACAAGGAATAGGACTTGCCTCCTCTGCGCTTCTCAGATCACACTGAAAAATCATTCGGAAAGGGGAGAATGTGGCTTCAAATCTCACTCACCTCTGCTAGAAAACAGAAAGAGATTGGAAATGTGCGTGCATACATATGCGCATACGTGGAAGAAAGTTAAAGTAGGAATATAAGGGCAATAGGAAACATTATGAAGAAGCCATAAGGAACTCAGACAGGTTTTGACAACTGAAGAAGCAGAGGCAGACTTAGACCAGATGAGTAAGTACTACAGAATTTGGATGCTCTCCGAATCAGGCCCCTGACTCAGACCTGCAATAACATTGAACATTACAGAGCACTTTGTCATCTCTGGAGCACACAACTGCCCGTTAGCTAATTAATCTTTCAAGGTTTGCTTATCTCTAATTATAATGCATTGATCAATGTGTTTTGCAAGCTCAGAGACTTCAGGATACGAGTGATAGTATCAGCTGAACAATTTCTACAGACCAGTGGCAACTCTTCCCTAACTCCTCTGTTAGAACACAACAGTTGCAAATGGTAAAAATTCCAACCCTCAGTCCTCGTACTGACTGAAAAGATTATTTTTCTCTTGGAGTTTTGAATCCATTTACCAGTTACTCACATGCAACTGAAGGTTAAACTCCACAAAGTCATTGAAATATTCAGTAGTGTTTGGTTTCATCCCTGTTTTTCTATTGTTAGGAACAGCAATAAGCTCTTGTTTGAGAACTCAGCATTAATTTCCAACCTCCCAACATTTGTTGAAAGACTATATCTATCCCAAGCTTCCTCCAGGGCTCAGTCTAACTTCAAGGGCAAAGACAAAAGAAAAAAGCTCAGTTGTGAGTACTGGGAGCCTCCTAGTAACATCTCACACAGAGAAAAGTTTGCATTCATATATGACTGCAAAAGCCCTCTGCATTGCAAATCTTACCATCTTGTACTGCCACTAGATCAAATGCTGCATTCAAAAGGTTTTGGTAAAAACCAAGGAAATACCTAAGCTTAATTATTTTTCTTCTCACCAAAGGTTTGTTTTTAAACAGGCAGCTCTTGTGGGTATGTTTTTAGTTTGCATGGCCAGACAGAGCATCTGCTCAGTGTTACTGATGAACAGGAATTTCAACAAAATAAAAAATAATTTTTTAAAGGGCAATTTTGCAAAACACATGTGGGTAAACATGAGCTGTGAAAGGGAAGACAACATGTACACTTCTCTTGGGGTAAAAAATGCCATTCAACCATTTCTACCATAATGTGCTCTGCCATAGTATGAGACAAACTGCTCTGTACTTGCAATGAACATAAAATAGTAGACATCACTAAACAGGTTTGCTCATAAAGCCAGAAAAGAATGCAAAGAACACACTGATTTTGTATTCAGTACCAAGGCACCTTGACTTCTCCAAAGCAGAAAAATCAGCTTTTGCTCTAGAAGGAGAATAAGTTCCTTTCAAAAGAAAACCTTGAAACATCTGAGCTTGTATTCTCAGGTAGTTTATATGAAGCTTTCCAAGGAGAGAAAGGGAAACAAGCACTGCATGCTACTACCATGGAGAGCATAACCTCCCTCACTCCAAACAAGCAGTCAAGATCATCTTGAGCCCTCTTTCATCCTCTGCTCCTATAGCCGACCCTGCACTGTGACAAAACCATTTATC